TCTTTATGACTAAATAGAGATTCAGCCATCTGTCACCAGAGTCACATGACATCATGCGCTGGTCACAATCATATGTGTGCATGGAACAACAGCAATTATTCAGCCTGTTGAGCTGCTGAGTGAGTCGCAGCATTTTTGAGAACATCAACACACTGGTGTTATTCACCGGACTAATGAGCCTTAGAATCACACATCACTAGAGGATGACCCATGCAGCACCCGCCTAAGGTCAACTCAGATAAACATATATAGTGTCTGAGCATGCAAACAACAAACAAACCTTTCAACAGTTATATGTTCAGCACCAACACCACCAGCTGCCTCTCTTATACCTGATTTAGACTTCTGCGAGGATCTTTGTAGAGGCTACAACTACAGCTAGGGCTGGGTCATATTATACCTTTCATGGTAAAATCAGTACAATGTTAGGCAATGATAAGAAAGTGAAATAAATGTGCATGCGCAGTGCCCTTGTTTTCATACACACATGGCAGAAAAAGCATGGCGTCGACAGAGAATGAGAAGGACGAAAGCAACAGATGAACCAGAATTGGTTTGTAAAAATGGTGCAACCTCAGTGGTGTGGAACTGGTCTGGTTTTCGTCCGTCAGATACACAACAAAGCACAAGTTTTTGTAGTACATGCAAGCGGGCCGTCGTGGCGCCAGGAGGAAACACGACAAACCTATTTCATCATTTGAAGCAGAAGCGCTCGTTGGAGTACAACAACTAATAAAGTTGTGGAGTTGTAAAAGATATCAATTATATCATCAATTATATCGTTATCACATATTTTCAAATATATATCGTGATAAACATTTTTGGCCATGTTGCCCTGCCCTCGCTACAACGTAACCCACCTACGCAGCCAATATCGTTCCGGGCAGTTATGCTTTTGCTGGGAAATTGCGCACACATGCACATGAATACCCATTCATGTCTGTGTTGTAGGGGTCTGTTATATTCTAGGAATGTAACATTCTGCGATTATTATTATAAATCTCACAATAATGCAAGAGTGAAGAAGAGAGAAAAAAAATTGCCTCGATGGACAAGTAATCACCATCAATGACGATGACAATCATCAATCTCTCGATGTTGTTCATGTTTGCCCGTGAAAGAGTGTAGAGGTGTTTTTCCCACTGACAGAGTTCCCAGAACGGAGGCATCCTATCAAAAATATTTACTGCAGATTGAGCACAGTGGTCCTGATCAAACTAATCTCCCTACAGGAGATCTTCAAAATGGACTTACAACGCTAATATTGGTTAGGATGTGCCCTTCAATATACCTGCTGTTCCCTCAACTAACCGAGATATTAAGTTAAAGTGCTTGATGTGAAGTGTGGAATGGTTCTGAGGCGGCCGTAGCCAAACGCAGTCATCAGGAATTCCAGACATATTCTTGAAGGATTTTGGAAAATATGTTAACAACATTTTTCCTTCCTGGATGGGAATGGGAGTGTCGGGTCAGTGAAGGCAGCAGGAGCAAAGTCCTACTGCTGCTAGCACCTCTCACACACACACATATATTGCACAGAGAACCTTCTAACAAGTGATGAATAATTAAATGCTGCTCTTTAAAACACACAGGAGAAGAGTTCACCTGTTTTATTAAAAAGACAGAGATGAGAAGCAGGGTAAAAGAGACGGTGGGCAGACAGAGACACGAGCAGCCAAAAGGTCGGACTTTTTAAACGCTTACTCCAGTTTGTCTGGGAGCTCTCCTTTGTAACAAACACAGAGGACAGCGCAAACAAAAGAGAAACTGACGACATGGTTCATCGGACAAATGGCAAACTGGACAGTGTCTCTGGAAGGAGGCAGCAAGATTAGAAGGAAGCAGAAGCGGCCAAGTGTTTAAAGAAGTAACAGCTGTCACAACGGGATCCCAGAGGTAGACGCCATAGTTTTCAATATCATACTATAACAAATACAGGCTTTTTTTGTGTTCCAGATTGGGTCAGGAGTTGGGATTTACGAGTTACCAGCTGGAAGCTATTGTGTGTTTGAGACTCGCTAACCATATGAAGAGCACTGACCAGGCGCTGAATGTGCTACAGCTGTGGACAAATGAACAAGTACTGCTAGTGATGCATGAAGGGCTCTACCTTTGCTAAGAGGCAAAACAAATCGTGTTTCTGGTGCCTCTGGGTGCAGTTCCAGAGTGAGGTTAAAAGGTGCACAAGGCAGACTAGACGATGGGCAGTAATGCTGTTGCTGTATCGGGACTAAAAAGGAGAAGATTTAGACAACTTTAGGTTTTCCCTGACTTACAATCATGAGCTCTGGAGAAATAACTGGAAGAACGGGACTAAAGAATCCTGAGGAGAAAAACAGGATTTCATGTGGCCTCAGAGCGCCACAGGAAGAGATGGGCATCTAGACCAGCGGTCTCCAACCTTTTTTGCGCCACGGACCGGTTTATGCCCGACAATATTTTCATGGACCGGCCTTTAAGGTGTCGCGGATAAATACAACAAAATAAAACTAGTACCGGTACCAAAAAAAAGAAAATTTATTCATAACACACGTGAAAAGACCCAGGAAAACCGAGTTAACGATAAAAATGCTGAAAACCCTGAAAACCATACATTTCACACCTGAGCCTCAACTCTCGCGGCCCGGTACCAAACGACTCACAGACCAGTACCGGTCCAAGGCCCGGGGGTTGGGGACCGCTGATCTAGACTATGTTGAAGAGCTTGCTGTCCTGCCTGGATGCCCATCCAGACTCCATGCAAGTCACAAAAAAAATACAAAGCTGAGCATCTTGCAAAAAACACTTGATCCTGCAGTTCCCCTCAGCTCAACATACCACTCCCAGGTATTTTGTTTGTTTGTTTGTTTGTTTTTTTAAAGAAAAAAAACCCCATCTTGACTGGTGTTGTGTTGGGACCACTAGCACATAATCGGCTCAGGTCCATTTGTGTTACTTGTTAGTGTTTCCAATCAGGTAGCAGTCCCTGGTACCAGGTACTTTTTTGGTACTTGCTCGGCTGGAATCACAAGTGATCCGAGTCGATCTGAAAATGTGAGATCAACAGACTGCAAGCCAACAACTGACCCATCGATGATGTCACTCGATGAGTCATGAGAGTGGCTTGTTCCCAAAAATCGAAACTGCTCATTTTGAAATTCGGCAACGATAGAAACGGCTGCACGAAGACCGACACCATGGTCACCGACTCACAAACACCCAGACGTCCTCCATTGTTCCGTTGCGTTTGTTTTGCAAGCAAAGACATCACAGGACTTTCGGCTGTAATGACCCAGGCGCACTGAGGTGGTCGCTCAGTCATAATGGAAAACAACAGAGACCGAGCAGAGTCGAGTCAAGCTGAGAAGGTACTAGTGGAAAAGAGGCATAAGCGATTCCTCAGTCCAGAGCTTGAAGTGGACACACCATGTTGGCCCAAATACAGAACAATTTCTGTTGCACTGCCCCCAAGTGGCCAAAAGAAGAAAGAAAATAATAGGTTTAAATTTAGTTAAAAAAAATGTAAATATTAACACAAAGCAGCTGTGGTTGAACTTTATACCTGAAATAAAATGTTTCTCCCTTTCATAATCTTTATTCCACCTGTGTGATATTTCATTTATCCCAGTCCAGGTTAATCTGGCCACACCTCTGGTTACTGGTATTGAACCAAGTTGCATTTTAGTTCTCCAGATCCTCCCCAAGTCTGTTTCAGATGAACCATGAACCACTGAGGACAAGGCCAGATAAACAGCATTTATCCATTCACAGTGCAGCCAAACCAGAGGTCAGTGGGCACGTGGTCATAAAGACATTTGAACAGGCTCAGGCAGCACTATGCTTTAATATTCAGACTCTCACATAGATAAAATAAATAAGACGCTATCAATAATACAATATGCACGGTCAGCCTTATCATACCGATGTATCTATGTCTTCATTATTGCCTGCAGATTATAGTCACATTAACTGTCTGATACAAACTGTAAAATTACTAAAACAGAAAAAACTAAAATAAGAAAAAAATTTCATTTATTCAAAACTAGAAAAAAATAACGAGCAATGCAATTTACAGAAAGAAAATGCTTAAGCAATTCAGATAGCTGCAAATTAACTTTATGTCCAAGCACAGGCTGTCTGTAACTCAGTGCCTTACTTTATAACAAAGCCTCATATTTTAAAAGAACGACAAAAACATGTCATATATTTGATGGGCTATGGGCTAGCACTCCAAATGTACTCAAAGTTCAAGAGCTTCAAATATGAAATAAAGTTTTTCGTTTTATTCCGCCTCTCGAGGTTAAAGCTAAATCTCTCCCTCTCCTTTTAAATGATGAGAGTAGCTGTGTGTTGTGTTCGTCATGTACGCGGGGCTGTGATATTGTTAGACTGGATGAAGGTGCGTTAGTGCGGGAGAGCAAAGTTCAGGTAATCCTGTGGTTTCTCTCTTCGGGCGGCCTGTTTTCTTTCTAACTTTGCTGTCGTTTATTACACTATGTCATTTACTGTGTATTAGGAGCGCGCTGCAGCGGTCTGATGGAGCCGGTTACGTCTACAGCAGCTGTGCGTTCTTTTTTATTTAAGGATTATGCATCCACGCAGAAACTGGGACGATGTTCGTGACCTTTGGATTTGAATGTTATTCAGCGTGATACAATGTGTAACGGCTCCATCGAGAGGCACACTGCGAATTCAAAGTAATAGCATGAAGAAGTGGAAGGTGATGTGTGTGCGCGCACAGGAGTAATGGTGGTGCGTGTGTGTTTGTGTGTGTTTGGGGAGAGGGGGGGTCTGAACATGGCTCAGAGAAAAAGAATGTTGATCAATTACACCTTATCCACCAATCAAGTCACATGGAGATGACTTAGGCACGCGCGCGCTCGATCACAGACATAATCCACGACAGGCAGCATTACGCGTCAGTAACATCAGAGATTTGAAATGTTGGCTGTGATCCCTCCTGAGTCACATCACAGCCCGCTGCTGCTCGATCTGCCACACGGAGTGCAAACCTCCCTTACCTGCGTCTCAACTTCTGCTCGCTGTTACTTCCACTGTTCTGCTGTTCTTGGCCGAAGTCGCTCTATATCCTAATCCAGCGGATTTGTAAACCATTCAGAAATCCGTTCAGAGTCGAGCGGAGAGCTCAGCGGAGGACGAAGGAGCAGGTGGCATCGTCTCCGGTCCAGAAAGCGTGCCTGTGTGTAGTGTTTGTGCGTTTGGGGAGAGACGCTCCACGTTAACGGCTCAGTAAATCTGTCCTCACACGACCGAGCGACGAGGAGAGCCAGGTGGTCGAGCACGAATCCCGCGCCGAGGTTGCCGAGCTTTATCGGCCGAGTCCAGCCTCAGAGCGCTGCACCCTGTCTGGGTAGGAAGCGCGGGGGCGCTGCGGCTGTCAGATCCGGTCTCTGTCGGTTCGCCACACGCTCGTGAGCAGAGGAGTACCGACGATCCCTCCTTCTCTCTGCTCCTCCTGAAAAATAAGGGGAGGTGGGCAGTCTTCAGCAGCCCCCATCCCCTCCTGTCCCCCGACGTGAGGACAAACTCCGCCCTCCCCACACAAGCTCAGCCAATAGGAACCCTCTCGCTGTCTCTCGGCCACACACCCTCTCTCTCTTTCTTTGGCCGATTCGGCGACACAAAGGCTCCGGCTCCTCTCCAGGAGCCGCCTGCACGTATTCATCCTCTAAAAGGAGCAGACACGTACTCAGCCATACTCATTGAGCCGCACAACCACTTATGTCATCTGACCAAAGCACAATAAAGGGATTTCACAGCGTTTTAAAACTCACTTGCAACCTGTAGCTCAATTCAGTGCACAAGCATTTGACAAAAATAAACCCTGGAAGCAGATTCAACAAGTTCCGTCAGGGAACATCTGAAGAGCAAGAAGATACACAAGTGTAATATGAGATGTAATACTCTGCTCTCTCTGGATTTACTAAGACTTTATCTTGAAATGCTTGGTGTTATCAGCTCAGTGTTGTTGGTATTTCTACATAAACTAGCTTTCTGTTCAGAAAAATGAAGCCAAGGGTCTTAAACTTGTATTTATTTGTAGGCCACCAGATGATAATAGCTTTGGTACAAAAGTTCTAAAGAGGTCTACCGGGAAAGGGCTTCTTCTTGACCTCTGTAATTGCTTTGCAATGTTGCAGCCCCTTCCTTGTCTTGTCTTCTTTGTCACTTTGGGTCATACCAAATAAAAATGCAGTCTAATTTGTTAATGTTGGTCATGTTTCAAAAAGTAGGATTAGCCATGTTATCTTGTGCTTGCTCATTGACTTCAACGACTTCCCATCACAAAAAGTGCTCAGTATTTGAGACTGCCCAAACCAAGCAGCGGCCTCCAGAGCTGCACTTTAATGATCACTTTTACTGATGAAGGTTCCTAACTGGGCGAAGTAACCCAGAAGTATCGTCATGGCAACCTAAGTGTAAGATGATGGTTCTATAAATAAAGATAAAAAATAAAGTGAACTGAAGGTTATAGTGTAACTCAGTTTGATACTATATGACCATCTTTCAGGATTTTAATGATTTTATTTGACAAAAAGTGGATAATCACCTCCTAGTAAGAAAGAATATACGAGGGGAGCGTGCATATTCTAAAACTAAAGCCAAGCAAATAAACTGCATTCCCTCCACTGTCACTTGAGGCTCGCTTCAACAGTGAATTCATATAGATTCCATTGTTAAAATTGTTCACTAAGCACTTTTGGTCTCAGCGGCATTTCCCTCCTTCATAACAACTTCCTGAGGAATTTCATTAACACTTATTCATTTGTATTTTCCTGAGGCTTAGAGTTAGAGGCCCGACTGCTCTGTTTGCTGGCATGAATTCAGCTCTACTAATTGAAGTAGCTGAACTGGACTTCTCGTTTGTGTTTGTGTTATTGGTGCCTTTGGAGAATTTCAAAAGGAATTATCTGAATTAAAGAAAAACTTAAAGCAACCGATTAGCTTAAGTTTTTTAAGTTTATGAAGCTGAAGCTTATCAGCACTCCAATATTTAGATTTCAGTTGACATGTTCCATTTAACTAAAATAAAAGTAAAATGTTTAATAATTAAATTTATAAATATTTAATAACTAAAACTTTTCATTCATGTCTCCCATGTCAATAAGTTAATAATTTAAAAGGAACGAGTACAACTGAGTCATGTTATCAGTTTAAGAAAACTAAGTGTATTGTATTGTTCACTTTTGTGATCTTTTTAAATTAAACAAAACTCAAAGATCTATATGTGGGAAACTCAAAAACATGTAGAAAAAACACAAAATGTAGAAAAAAATCAATGCACCGAATACTGCAAAATTTAAAAGCGTAAGTACATTTCTTCAGTTCACCAATAACACACTGTATAATTAATATTCAAGAAAAACACTTCTGACTGACTGGTGTCATGGCAGGGTGTTTACCACTTGGTGGCTGTAGCTCAGGAGGTAGAGCAAGTCACCTACTGATAGGAAGGTTAGTGGTTCAATCCAGAGGTGGCCCACACATGGGCCAGCATGAGGCCAGTTGCAGGCCCTGTGCTGGCCCATGTGTGGGCCACCTCTGGCAAACCTGATCTGGGCCACCAAAGGGCCGTCATTCTTTGCGGTATGTGGGCCTTGTGTAAGCACATTGTGTAGGCCAGATCCAGACCATACCAATTTTGCTATGTGGGTACCTGCTTGGTTAACATTTATATTCAAAACAATGACAATCAGAAATGTATTGTAGTCCAGTTATCGCAACAAAAAATGACATAAATCAACAACAAAACCAGTGGATGCATCAATTTTTTATGAGGGACATATGTACGTGAGGCAAATTTAGTTTGACCCAAATAGCTTTGTTGAGACCGAACAGTTTAATCTGTCTTGAACAGCTTTGCGTGGTTCACAGTTCAAAATAATCCTTATTTAGCTCATCCTATGCTGTCTGAAACAAGCAGTTAAAGCTTCGAGTCAAATATGTTCTGATTGGCTGCCCTTCATAAACAGAAGTGCTCACAGCCACAGCAGTGTGCCGGACTTTATTCAATACGTTTTGACTTACATTAAACATAGCCAAGGGTAATAAAGATGTTCCCCATGAAGTTGATAAAAAATATTTTCTAGATTCATTTTGCGTTTATTTGGATTATGTGAATACGAAACAACTGACACACATAATCACACAGCATGACCACAGTTACATAGAAAGCAAACAGTTACTTTATTGTACAAACCAGATTTAACATTACTGAGAAACCATCTTTTCAAGGCCATTATGAAGACGTGAAGCGTTTTCGTTTTAAAGGAAGGTTGCATCACAATACAGCTGCAGAACAAAAGGAATGAATGCTTTTCCAAAACTAAATGAAATAACCGAATCCTGTAATAACATGAACACACATGCATATTTTTTAAGAGATAACAGGTCAGTCTGCTCTTACTGAATATTTATCTGTGATTTTTATCTGTTTAATTTTATTTTTATTATCAAACTTTAAATTAAAAGTTTCATTTCTTGCGTTTGCAAACAAACACCTTGTCTAACAATTGCACAACATATTATTAACAAACAAATATATAAAAAAGAAACTATATGTATCTTACATTGAATTTTCTTTTTAGTTAAACTAGAGCTTAGCAGTTTTATTTATTAAATGAATATGACTTATTTGTGAAATTTGAAACTACGTTTTTATATAATATTTCAATGTACACGTACTAATTCAGTTTCTTTAAAATAAAGAACCCTTCACATTTACTGAGTTATAGGCTATTTCTCATGTTATTTTATGCATTTAATTCACAGTATATTTTTTCAATTTTCTTCATATGTCATTTAATTAAAAATAACTGGAATATTCGGTTACATATATATTAAAAATTCTATTCAATGATGGATTTTTTTCAGTTTTAATGACTGTCCAGTCTGAAGCCCACAACAAACCAAAAACGTGCCTATAATTGTCCCAGAAAACTGCAGTCAGTTATAGTCTGAACACTACAGACAGCCAGGTCTAAATAAGCCCTGTCTTTATGAATTATGAAACACTTTGGACTAAGGGGCTTTCACATTTAGTTTAAGATGACTCAGGGAAATTCCTTTAGCTTTGAATCATCCCATTTTGCATCAGAGCAGAGAGGAGAAAAATCAGATTCAAAAAATATAAAGTACAAGTGTCAGCCAGTTTTACATATCATTGTGGATATAATGGTTCTGACTGAGCTCCCCACAGGGCTGGACTGGGTCAAAAAATTGGCCCGGGCATTTTGACTAGAGACCGCCCCCCCAGGTATTATAGGAAAAGCCATAAAGCCTTTGAATGAAAACAGACACTGTTGTGAAAGTGATGTACACTGTCTTGTTGGTATATGTATGATTTCTATACATTTTACGCCAGATAAAAACTTTGGTTGTAATCTCGCTTTTATAATTATTTAATAAAAGCGAGACATTTTAAATGAGAATAAGAACGTATTTCTTTGTGCCCCCCTTTCCCTGTTAATGCCCTACCTGGCCCCCTGGCAAAACTTTGCTAGACCCGCCCCTGCACAGTTACCAGCTGTCAGCGTAAAAAAGGATCCTGGTGTTATTTGTCTCTCGGAAACAGTTCATAATTTCCCTTTAACTCATTCATGTCACCTAAAAGGTAAACCTGTTCCTCCATCACCTGTTCAGCTCTGATGATTCAGTAAGGACATCTCCTGGTTTCATCTTCATGTTTCCCTCTCACCACATA